AAGATCAATATCACCCTGATGGCCAAGCTATCCACGAAGCGATCGTTAAGAGCCCCTTACACACTAGAATTATCTCTCAATAATAGTTTGCGCTAGTTTCCCAAATATCTTATTGATCGCTTAAGTCGTTCGACGGATCATGACTCATAAATCTGCCAAACGGTCGTCTCGATCGGGTTGATCTCTTTTTTCAGTTCCCCAACCAGCTTGATGGCTCCACCATTTTCTATTTGTAGAATGTAACAATCATTGATGACTGTTTAATAGGCAAACATTTCGGAGTACTCGAGATCCGTGGACTGAGGACCGTCGAGCGCGAGTTCGAGCTCCCTGGTACTTATTGACCACTTGAGGCCTTTCACCGCTGCCAGCTGGAGTCGGGCATTCAGCTTGATTCTTTCGTTCTGGCGATGGAGTTGGATGTGGAGCTGGATATGAAGCTGGAGCATAAGCCCCAGCTGTAAGCCAAAACTGCACCCGAAACCGAGATTCAACTCGTAACTGACTTGGTTTCGTTTCGTTTCCAGAACATTAGGCCTAGGAACAGCTCAAGTCGCCTGCTGCTAAATTTCACTGTTTATTTCTTGTGCTCCGGCTGAAATTAAAAGACTATAAACAATCGTGAGAATGGCACTTGAACATGTTCAAAACTATAATGGCCTAAAACGAAATGTGCAAGAGAAGCAGCAACCGAGGCTTGTAACGGGGAGGGGGTAACGAAGTGCACTGAGAGAAAATCTGGGAATAGAATTAAAGACTAAACTAAGATTTAAGTTTGAAGTTTGAGAAGGGGCTTCTACATAATGTTCATGAAAATCATTAATAATCAGATTTGTTCTTGAAATCTACACATATTTTCCTATCTTTATGTTTCTTTTCTGTTTTATTGATCATCATATGAAAATTGTTTATCATAAAATCGTTGACCTGCATTCATCGTATTTGACTGTAGAAAACTGAGATTTTGATTTTTCGCTCCATGTAGCCCAGAGAGTACACAAAGCCAACAAACGGAGCGAGCCATGGACAAGCGGCTAAATGAACAGACAGTCAATCAACTTTTAGTAAAAAGCAACGGCCAAGACAGCCAAAGCAACAACAACGATGACTGGTAGTATGTGGTATGACTGGGACTGTCGATGACGTTGGCTTCAAAGAGAAAAGCGCGGGCTCGGCTCAAGCGAAACGATCACGAGCAGCGGATGGAGTTGGATGTGGATGTGGATCTGGATCTGTAGGATCCAAAAGATCGGTAAGATCGGTAAGATCTCTTGGCCAAGATGATTTAAGCGGAGCAAGAGCACTATTACGAAATGATCAGAGCAGCTAAAGCAGCAGAATCAAATCAGGCGAGGACGCTGGCTATAGCGGCCTGATCTCCTCAACCCCGAGTATTGCGATGGCTATCGTATCGGATTGGATCAGTTCGAGACTCGATTACAATAATTACAATTACGCGATTCACCAAATCACAGCAACAACAACCACAGTGCGGCGTGCATCTTACAAATGCGGATACAGATACAGATATTTTGATGCTATGTTATTTTAGAGATCTTAAAGTTTTGGATTATAAGAATATTTATCGCTGTTCTGATACAAGTTTAATTTAGGATTAAACTATATTTAAATGTATCAATGAATGAGATGTATTTAAAACTCTTCCTGTATTTTATTATAATTCCTTCAGCTCTAGTTAGAGAGGCTCCACTGTATTACGTGCACATAAACAATCTTTATAAGAAATTGAAGTCAAGAAGCAGAATTAAAACAAAACTCATCAACATCAACGGACTCACACACACGCACAGCCGTCAATTGCCGCGCACGCTTGTGTGCGGGCCAGAAGAGAGATGCAGAAAGGAGGAACAGAATGAAGGGGAGAACCCAGAGGAGACAGAGATCCATCTTCTAGGCTCCATTTGGCAAAGCGAATCGGGCAGAACGAGAAATTGAAAAGACAGTTACAACCTCATAATGAAGTTTGCTCCTCTCTGGATCTTCTTGCTCCCCTTTTTGGTCCCCTTCGTTTGGCCACAAACCCTCTGAATCTTTCTCCTGAAGCTTGCTTCTTTTCTCTTGGCGAACGAAGGCTGCGAAAATGTTTGCAAAAATCCATAGCAAAACCGCATGCACACAGTCATACGGACACCCCGTACTCATACACACACACAAATCGTGATGTTGTTGTATATATAGGGGAGCATAGCTTTTTTTTTGTTTTTGCGAAATTGAGCGGTAAATGGGCAGTGAGAATGAGAACCTGAAAGATACTTACCAAAGAGCGACAGAAAGAGAGCGATATGGGAATTTCTCTCTCGCATGCGATTTTAGTGCGCGTTCAACGGTAGCTGCGCACGCGTTAAAACGATCTTTCAGATACGTCATAAAATAAAGATGTTCACGATGGACAAAGAGTTTTGGGTTCTCGATGCGTTCACCTGCTCAAAAATTCATGTTCAATGTAATCATTTTTGATTTTGTATTATGTTAGAGTCTAAGGTTACACTAAACAAATATTGAACAGTAACTGATAGATTTCTTAGGAAACTAAGACTTAAGATAGTTATGATGAGGTATTAAAATGTTTTAGCAAATAAGTGAATTTTCTAAGAAACTAAACGTAAGAGTGACCAATAAAAGTCGTTTAGAATGGGTACCCTTGGCTTTAATGGTTTCCGTTTTGTAAATCAAGGTCTGGTTGTGATTTCCCTATGGCCGTTTGAGCGTTGCCCAGCACTGCGGCAGATGCAACTAACGCTGTAGCGTTGCATTCACTTCTGGCCAAAGGCGCAACTCACACAGATGCTCAGGCCAATACACGTACGCCGATGCAGTGCCCCCGCACTCACACACACACACACCTACGTGGGATCGGTGGCAAAGATGCAAGATGCACTCGCATTGCAACTGGCTTTTGGTCTATAATTCTTGTTTCTGGTTTTCGTGCTGCCAAGATAAGGAGTGGGACATGGCCAGCACAGCCTCATCGTTATTACGATCCGCTGGCAACATGTTCATCATCATGATCAGCATCATCATCAGCATGGTCATCATCTCTTCTGGGCGAAGAGGCCACAGGAAACTGCAGCAGCATGGCGCTTTGTCTCCCAAAGGAAGCTGACCAGTAATATTTACATTTATTGCTAAATTATGCACACTTTTTGTGCCGCATTCAGGTATTTTTATTTGCAGGACCATCTTTTTCGCGTATAATTATTCAGTTGATAAGTCATATCTCTTGCATTTTATATCTGATTTTGCTCTGTACTAACTTACGTTCTTACTTACTTACCCTGAAGCTAACAAGTCGCTGTGATCAATACTATGCGCAATTTATCGGATCCTTAACAATTATTAATCGAAAAATCGATATTAGGAAATAAGAAAAATACCAATAGAAAATTTCGGTTTTTAGACTGGACTTTTTTGAAGGTATCGTAGTGTCAGGGATATATCCTTAGAATTTCCTATCCCAGACATTTTAAGACTACAGAAATTGAGCAATCATGGCCAGTTTGTATTCTACTTTAAAGTAAACAACGTCATTTATTAATGAGTTTGTAATTTGAATAAAATTCATGACGTGAGCCCATTTCTATGGGGTCGCAGCACAATCTCTGCGGTTTTCCACGGTGAAAAGCGCTGCGATTGCTACTAATGGCCGGAGATTTTCATGGAAAGTTGGTGCGGTCGCTGTTGCTGTTGCTGTTGCTGTTGCTGTTGCTTTGGCTGCCTTTTCTTGCTTATGAAAATTTCACGCCAGTCGAAAAGAATTATTAATTGCGCAGCGGCAGCAGCAGCAGCAGCGGGGAAAACAAAAACAACATTCAGCCACCACCGCAGAAGACAAAAACAAAAAACAAAAACAACAACAACCGCACACAAATTTCAAAAGTGGGAATTATGCATCGCTGCGCAGAAGCAGAACTCTGAAAACGCACATAGGGAAAATCCGGGGGTAAATGTATCTGTATCTGTATTCGTATCCGTGTATCTGTAAGCGCGTGTAAAATATGGTAAACATGGAAATACGTAATAACTGAAAAAAGCTGAAAAACAGCTACAGAAACAGTGTAACAAAAAAGGGAAATATAAAATCAGGTACAAATTTTCACCAAAAACAGAAAAAAAAGAGTTTACATCGCTCTGTCGACGTCGTCCGTTGCATTGTCATTATTGGTTGCCAGGGGCGTGGAAAGGGGGATTCCCCATTTGGAAATTATAACTGTTGGTTATGGAATTAGACTGGAAATTGTTTAATTGTCGCCATGAAAAATAATAAAAAAAATGTACAAGTTAATATTTTTGGGATCCTTGTGTTTTAAAATTGATCTACATTATTGTCTAGCATTGCTTAGCATAAGCTTCACACTAAATTCTGACCCCTTTAAAACATTTCCAGGCACCACCCATGCCTGTTGGCTGTTGTAAAAGCTGGCTTGGGCCTGACTTTGACGATTTCGTGGTCACACAGTGTGAAGAATGGCTAGGAAATATTGTATGCACCGTTGTTTGGTGGGCTGTTACAGATTTACAGATTACTGCGCCAGATAACAAATGAAAGTGCCCTGGCATTTGTTTTTTTTTCAATTTTTTTTTTTTTTTTTAGTTTATTTTAGTTGCTTCGCTCGTTGGGCAGGAAAGAAACCCGGCAGAAGGAGGCGGTCGTTACAACAATAGAAAGAAAAACGTTGACTCAACCTTTTAGCTGTGAAGAATAACAGCAATTTGGGTGGGTTTTGGTTTACATATGCTTTATGGGGAAAGATCGGCGATAAGAATCTGTCTGATCTGGGCTTAATTTGGAAGAAAGTCTGCCCTGGGATGTCTGTTCATCCTGCCCTTCTAATTCCAGGCAAATCAACTCAAATCTTCTAGATATGGGAACAAATGTGTGCTATCAAAGGAACTGTAAGGGCACTTCTTTTGGTCCTATAATTATCAGATAAATTATAAAGATTTGCTTAGTTATATTATTTATTCTGCGGCCTAGTCAGCTCTTGCAAGCTTTGTACAAAATGTCAATTCTTTTACACGTTTCAATACAACGAAAACATATATTAATTTCTCTTCGAAATGAGGATTTTTTGCCATCAAAGGAGCAAGTCTACTATTTTGCCCTAGGTGAGTATCTTTTCGGTGATCCCATTGAAATGGTTATATGTAATAGGTACTAATAATGAACGATTTTCGTTTAATTTTTTTATACAATTCCGCCAGAATATCTTCAACGTGGCGACAACCCTGTTGACTAGAGTTAACTAACACTGGAGCCTTGACATTTTTTATTAGGAAAAATAATTCGTTCTTCTAGAAGAGCTTAATTAAACGTAAAATGGCCAACAAATTCCGGAATCTGAGCAGCAAGCTTTTCCAGCTGGCCAAGAGCAGCTTCAGCCGAACAGCAGTGCGTCCGCGAATGAGTTTCACGGGTCGTATTGGCTTCTACGGTCGCAATCGCAAGTTACTTGGCGCGTTAGGAGCCCTAACTGGAGCAGCCGGCCTCCTGATCTACGCCCTGGAAAGCAGTGTGGACGCCTCCACGGACTGCGTGCATCCGCCACATCAGCACTGGAATCACACCGGACTGCTGGCTGCCTTGGACAAGGAGAGCGTGCGTCGTGGTTACTTTGTTTACAAGGAGGTCTGTGCCTCCTGCCATTCTTTGCAGTACATCGCCTATCGCAATCTGGTGGGAGTTTGCTTGACGGAATCGGAAGCCAAGGCCGAAGCGGAAAGCATAACCGTAAGAGATGGGCCGAATGATGAGGGCGAGTTCTTCGACCGCCCCGGCAAGCTGTCCGATCATTTTCCATCTCCCTATGCCAATGAGGAGGCAGCCCGTTCCGCCAACAATGGCTCCTATCCTCCGGATCTCAGTTACATAGTATCTGCCCGCAAGGGTGGCGAGGACTATGTGTTCGCCCTGCTTACCGGCTATTGTGATCCTCCTGCCGGATTTGCTCTACGCGATGGGCTTTACTACAACCCATATTTCTCCGGTGGAGCCATTGCCATGGCCAAAGCTATTGACAATGAAGTGGTATCGTTTGAGGATGCGAATGTTGCTGCCTCAGCTGCCCAAATCGCCAAGGATGTGTGTGTCTTCCTGAAGTGGACATCGGAACCGGAAGCGGATGAACGCCGTCTGTTGCTCATAAGGGTTACGCTTATTTCGGCCTTCTTGATTGGCATATCGTATTATATCAAGCGTTTCAAGTGGTCGGCTCTCAAATCTCGCAAGATCTTCTTTATCCCTGAGCTGGAGGCCCAGGCCAAAAAGGAGGCGGAGGAGGCCGCCAAAGCGCTGGCCAAGGCCAAGGAGCAGGAGTGCAACAAGTGCGAGAACAAGAACGAAAATAAGGAATAAGCATTTGTAACTCCTCGTAAAATCAGTATAATCATTTAACACACCAGAGTTAATGTTCTTTAATAAAAATTTAAATACAATAAAAGCTTTTGAATTTCGAAATACTTAGCGCGCGCTATTGTGTTATCGATAGTTCGGGGCTGCATAGGCACAACATTGTTGCTGTTATCGGTTATTCCCGTTCTGTTAGCTAAATCAGCTGTTCTGTTAAATACCGGCAAAGCTAGATTTGGGAAGATTGTTTATTATTCGTTTATTATTTTTTATAAATGGCAACTTATCCCTCTTCAAAGTTTATGGAGTGCCTGCAGTATGCTGCTTTTAAACATCGCGAGCAACGACGCAAGGTAAGCTTTCTTAGCTATATAAATCTATAACTGTCAACAAACAATTATATTCCAGGTTTTTTATATTTTAAGGACCCCAAGGAAACACCTTATGTGAATCATGTGATTAATGTCAGCACTATTCTTTCTGTGGAAGGATGCATCACTGATGAGGCGGTTCTGATGGCTGCTCTTCTTCACGATGTGGTCGAGGATACGGATGCCACGTTTGCGGATGTTGAAAAACTATTTGGAGCTGATGTTTGCGGATTAGTACGGGAAGTAACCGACGACAAGTCCCTGGAGAAACAGGAGAGAAAACGTCTACAAATAGAAAATGCAGCTAAATCAACCTGTAGGGCCAAGCTTATAAAACTGGCCGACAAGCTGGATAATCTAAGAGACCTTCAAGTCAATACGCCTACAGGATGGACAGAAGTAGGTTTATATAACTTTTATCGTCCCCTTCTAAAAGGCACCAAACTTTATTGCAGGAACGTCGGGAACAGTACTTTATATGGGCCAAAAAAGTTGTGGACAATCTGCGGGGAACCAATGCCAATCTGGAACTTAAGCTGGATGAAATCTTCCGCCAGCGCGGGCTCTTGTGATTTCAAAAATCGAACAACTAAAATGAAAATCATCTAATTTTTATTGTTTTTGTAAAAAGCCAACATGAGATTGGCCAACTGTTGGGTTTCCGCCAGCGTTACAGCATTATAGAGGGATGCTCGAATTCCTCCCACCGACCGATGACCCTTCAACTGGATCATGCCCTCCGCTTCGGCTTTGGCCAGGAACTCTTTCTCCAGAGCATCATCTCCACTAGCACTGCCAATCCTAAAGGGCACATTCATTCTCGAACGCACATTGACATCCAGTGGACAGTAGAAGAAACCATTGGACTGGTCAATGGTGTCGTAGATAAGCTTAGACTTGGCTGCAGACAGTTTGGCCATGCCAGCGACGCCGCCATTCCGCTTGATCCACTTGAAAACCAGGCCCATCACATAGATGCTGAAAGAAACACGTTTACCAATGAGTTCTCTAAATCATAGTTGGTTTCTGCACTTACCCAAAAGTAGGAGGAGTATTCAACAACGAGCTGTTCTTGTCCATCAGCTCAAAGTTCAGGACGGATGGTGTGATCTTCAGATGCTTGCCTATCAAGTCCTCTCTGACAATTATCACGGTGGTGCCTGCTGGTCCGATATTCTTTTGGGCTCCTGCATATACCACGCCAAATTTGGAGACATCAAAAGGACGTGACAGGAAGTTGGAGGACATGTCAGCCACCAGTGGAACACCGGCTGGAACCTCGGGTACAAAGTCAAACTCTACGCCCTCCACAGTTTCATTGTCACAAAAGTAAACATAAGAGGCTTTTGGGTCCAGTTTCCAAGTGTCCTGACGTGGAACTGATGTATATTTTGCCAGCTTAGGCAGAACAGCATTCACAGTGCCGTACTGAGCGGCCTCCTTGGCCGCCTTGGCTGACCAGGATCCGGTGATTATATAATCGGCAGTGCCCGTTTGACCAATTAAATTCATAGCAACTGCTGCAAACTGCCCAGTGCCACCGCCCTGCATCAGCAGGATTTTGTAGTTGCTTGGCACATTTAGAAGTTCACGAAGATCGTTGATGGCCGTCTCCTGGATTTTTGCATAGTTGCTGGAACGATGGGACATCTCCATGACCGAGATGCCGCTTCCATTGCAGTTGAGGAGATTTTCCTGCACCTCCTTCAAGACCTGTGAAAATGATGTAATTATTATATGATACAACGTGGGTTAGATTGATGGCAATTTAGATGAATTTAAATTTAAATTACATCAAACAAGTAATTGTAATAAATTATTTTCTTTTTACAGATATGACACGTGATTTGGCAAACGTTTTACTGACCTCTTCGGGTAATTTGGCTGGACCGGCGGCGAAATTGATAACCATGTTAATATTTTAGAGCGTCTGCGATCTGTCAACCTCTCTGTGAAGCGGCTAAGTATTAACTAAAGTGTTGAACAGCCAGTATTCGCAATCGCTGATAAACGAGACGAAGGCGGCGGAAAGAACAGCAACAAGTCACTGGGCAGTAAACAAAACGCGTGCGGAAAAACAGACTCAAACTCGCCAGACTGGACAACGAACTCAGTTTGTCCAGGGGCGGATTATGTACAGAGAAGGGATTCTACTCAAAGATCTTGATTCTGGACTGCGCTCCTGGACAATCGACGAAGCCAGACAAAGGCAGCCGGTACGGCGAATTCGATCAAAACAAGTCGGCAATTCGCAGGGCGAATATATTCACATAAGTATGTACGTATGTATGCATAATGCACGAAAACAAAATGTTCCCCATGCCCCTCGTTTACCCCTCTTCTCGCATCCACCGTGGGTTGCCATGCACTTTTTGATGGAGTGACAATAACAACCGAACGACTGAATTCGCAGTCGAGTAAACAAGCCCCAAGCAAAGTTTGTGAGTGCATTGTACAGTGAAGCACTGATATGTTCAACCACATGTTTATGTTTTGCCAGATTTCTGGCTTACCATGCACCTGTTTACTAATCAATCGAAATTCAGGGAAATATTTTATAAACATATCAGTTAATCATAAAAATGACTTAATGTATTGATTTCAGAAGTTTATAAAGCCTGATTATGGAATAAAAATTTTAATTAATAAACTATACATATTTTTAAAATAATTATAGTTTTTTATTAAAAACCACTGATATAATTTTTAACAAGATAAAGTTGTTAAGTTATGACAATAAATTTGCACAGAAATTGCAATAAAATCTAATAACAAAACCGTCTGCCGATAGGGAATTCCTCGAACTCATATCTGATTCCTTATCCGTTCAGACCGATTTAAGGCCATTGTAAGAGGGCAATCAGAAGTGCTTTAGACCTATGTTACGTATACTTATCTTGGCCTATGTCTTGGCCAAATTCGTTGACCGCCTAATTACTTTATAGCAGCCGCCTTGCACAGCCGGCATGAAAGGTGCTTAAAGTTTCCAATTTACTTGGACGCCCAAAACGAATTTCCAATGAGAGGCTGGCCAACGTGTCTGGAAACCCAAACGTGCTCGGCTCGTGCGTTTCGATTTCGGTCTAAGAGTGGGTGGTGGTGGCGGATGTGGGTGTTGTCGGGCGGTGGGAACTGGTTCGTTCGCTCGGATGTGGGCTGGTCATTCATAAACGTTAAGCCAAAAAGTCAATAATTTTGCCCTGTAATGTTGATTGCACAGCTCAATGGGGCGCCTTTGGCTCCAAGACGTCGGAATGGTATTTGAAAAATCTTCAAACAACAATTTCGTTTTGACTAATTAGGGTTTTTAAGATTTATTGCCCGGCCTTGGGTACAGCTGCCTTATAAGTAAGTACATAATTTCAGTTATTGCGGCTCCGCCTGCACTTTGTTAACGATATCGCTCCAGAAGGTTCCGTACTCCTGTAGCACAGTGCCCCTGCAAGGGAAAAAGTGAAAATGTAAATTCCTCCATTGAGCAAGTCATGATTGTTTTTAATTTATACGCCGGGTTGCATGCAATGTTTGGCTGTGGCTATAAATAGGTAATAATTGATGATTCGACAATTTCAGGAGATGATACTTAAGGTAACACAACACTATACTGCATTCATTTAAGCTGGAATCAAAACCTAGTTTATTACTTAATAAACATTCATTCAAACTCTAACAACTCAATTATTGATTTTAAGTCTTGAAGTTTACTCGAAATGTCTTCATAAACTTTCCTTGTCTGTTCTTGATTAATTCTGATATTTGCATATTTTCGTTCGGTAAAATGATAAATGATACAAGTGTCCGAAAGATAACTTCTGTTCGGTTATTTCACAGTTGGCACTCCCTTATGTTGGCCAGTGTTAGCTGCTGACAAACTTGACAAAGTTGCCGTATAAAAAGGCATTGACAACTTTTCTTTGGCTTTTTTGAGGTTGTCAGTGCGTGGCGTCTTTGCCGTTTGATGCCTTTTTTGTGGACCCATGATTTGGGGGGACTCTTTTCGCCTGGCTCTTTCCAAATAAATCAATTACATAATGCCTTTTGTGCGATTATCCGGCAAGTTTTTGTCGGCCTGACAATTATGCGCACATTACATTATGTGGGTCAACGTGGCGTATGATTAATGAATCCCTTCACGGCCCACAATGATGGTCCTACTGCCCCTTCTACCACTTCTGCTGGGTCTTCTGATAATGATGATTATTATGATGATGATGGCGACGGACGATAGAAGACACGTACTGTATTTGTACGAAGCCAGTTTTGACAAAGTGTTTCATTGAAACTGCCAAAAAAAAGGGCGTTAAGCACACATTTATTAAATTAACTGAGTCTTGAAAATTAGCCGTATACCAACTTGAAATTCTTAAGGTATTAGATAGTAAGGTTTATGAATATATTCCTGAACTTGGTGAAAACTTTCTGTTCATGCACTTAAAGCGCCACCTTCTTATCAATATTTTCGTCCTTTAAACTTACGTAAAGTAGACGTGTCCTCGCTTATTTTGCGGGGCCTTCCAGATCAGCTTGGCGCCCAGTTTATCTCGGTTGTCCGAGTGCGTGATGGCCGAGCACTCAGGAATAGTCTTGGTGTTCTCGCTTTGCACCCACTCCCCGATCCACTCGTTTGAATTTGCATCGCGCGCCTGCAGGAAGAAACCCCGGAAGACGGTGCTTTGGTCCGAGTGCGGATATATAACCACCGATATCTGCTGACCGGGGTGATAAGTCTGGGCATCAGCCACCACTTCGTAGGGATTCGAGTGGGCAGGCTGAGTTCTGGCCTTGCCGTGATTGGGCTGGTTGGCCCTCTGTTTCACACACGTATCTGCGGGAGCTCCATCGGGAAAGGCTATGGCAGTGCCTATTAGAAGTACCAGCTCCAGGGATATCCAGTTGAATCGATCCTTCATGGCTGTAATTTGGATTTTCCTGATCGTGGGAAAATGCGCGCGCGCTCGGCTAATCTAATGGTAAAACTCGGCTCGCCGCCGTCATCGCCGGCTGTTTATAAAGCCCGCCGCAATGCCAAAAGCTCCGCAGCCGCCGAAGACTTGGGCGGGCGGTAGAAATCGAGTGATACCCACAGCTGAGGGAACTATGATAGCATCTTGTCTTCTGTTCAATTAATTTCACAATAAAAGTTTAAAGAATTTCAAGGGGCATCAATCGCTTAATTGCAAAGCAATCAACTTCATCAGTAAATCATTATTTTGGTTAATTTTGAATGAACAAATGTTGTGTGTCGGCGGACATAAATCATTGACAGATGCTTGCTGGTAGTTCACTGTGGCATGAATCATTTTTGATTTATTTTGATTTATTTACGAGCAGCAGTGATGCTAGTTATCTGACCACAAATGTACACGGGAGCTCAGCTGGCTGCGAACAACCAGTTTTTAATGATCAAAAAGCAAATGGCCAAAACATAGTTCCTTTCCTGCACAGTGATCCGAACTGGGTCACACATTAGTCCCTCCCCTGAGCCGCCGTTTTGGATTTTGGTTTTGAAGTCTGGCTTCCAAGCTCTGGCTCTAAGTGCTCCATTGCGAAATTCTATGCTTCTAATCGCTGAAAATGTTGCCTGTGCCGACTGCAATGTTCCGTCGTTTGTTTATTTTGCGCCTTTTCTGTGCATTTTTCAGCGCGTTTTAATGTTTTAATTGACAGGCAGCCGCCGTTGGCGTTGATTTCGCTGAATTGAGTTGGCTTTGCCTCGGTTTTTTTTCATTTTTTCATTTTCGGTTTTTTGTTTCTGGTTGTTTTGCTTTTTCCTCTTTTGAATCCGCTGCGTTTCGCATTTCGCATTCGCAGTTGCACTCGGCGGTTTCCTTTCTGGGATCCACCAACGCTGCTTCTCGGTGGAATATGGTTTACCTCCACCACCTCTTTCCCCCAAAATATTAAATTTAATTTAGTTTTTGGCAAGGGAGATAACTTCAACAGCTGTAAGCTGTTGGAATACAAATGAAATCATTGAGTTAGCACTTTAGTTTTAGATTTAAGTTGACTCTTAATTCGAAATCTGCTTCAAAATAAATAAGTTTAGAATCAAACTGTAATAATATGTATATACATTTGCCTTTATAAATTAAGTCAAATGTAAATAATGTCCGTTTACTTTAATTTGTGTTTTTAGTTTCGCTTACCTCGCATGCAAACAGCCATCCGAATGGCAAACAGATTTTAATTTAATAAAACGTTGCTGGACAAAACGCTCTTTTATTGCTTAGAAATTGCCGCCTCAAAACGGCAAACACACACACACCACACACACTTTGAGCAAACACAATTTTAAACTCGTTTCATTAATTAAAATGTTCGGTTAAATATTTAAATTGGAAATGCCAGACTCAGCAACTTTGTGCATATAAATTAAATTGTTTACTCTTTTTGAAAATTTGTTTGTCCAGAAATGCGATAAATATTATTTTAGATTGCATTTAGTTTAGAGTGCAAACAGTGCTGAACTCTGCAGCTTTTATTTGCATTTCTTGTTCGCCGCACTACAAAAGGTCAGTTAACCCGGGCAGCTTAACTTTAACCGATAGACGAGGCTGGCCGAAAGGACATCATGTCATTCATTATGGATGCGCCAAATGCGAACTTTCAACTCCCTGGACTGGGCAGCAGCATCCCGAAAATATTGCGCCATTGTAAATGACATTTGTGCCACATCACACGAACTCCTGAAACGCGACAGAGAAGAAAATTACCGAAAATGTGAATTAATTAGGAACATCATAAAGAATTCTTTTTATTACATATTGAAGTTGACTTTTCATGAAGTCTTCAACTTATAGGCTTTAAGATATCCCCACTCTTCCGGATCGAATTCTCAACTATACAATCTTAAAACAATTAACATTTAATTTCTTTCCATGTACTCATCCTCCAGGCAATGCATGCGAAATTCACTTCAAACTAAGGTATAGTAAAAAAAATGTAGGGAAACGAAGGAAAACTGCCAGCCGCCTTAAACCGATGTGCCATGTAAATAGTGAAGTTTGTGGGAAAAGGACGAGGGGCTGGGAACGAGAAACGAGGAAGAGGTCGGAAAATCCACTTCATCGGCTACGGTTGGCGCGGAAAAGTGTGTCACCTGCAGGCTGCCAGAGCGCAAGTCCTGTGAGAGGAAAAGCGGCAGCCGCTTGATGGTGATTTTTGGCCCAAAGACTTTTCACCAACACGACATTCGCATTTTCCACCAAGGCGGAGTAAAATTCAATTCAGAACGTGGTCAGACGTTGTAGCGCGTGGTCGTGGAATTTTCCGAGAAAAATCAAAGGAAAAACAAAACAGTGCGAGGCAGCAGCAGCAGCAACAGCAACAACAACAACAACCACTAACTAGAGCAGAGGAAATTGTGAGCAATTTGTATTTTAGTAGTATATTTCTTTACGCGCGCGTCTGTGTGCGTGAGTGTGTGGTAGTGTGTATTTGAGTGCCAGTGTGTGTGTGTGTCTGTGTTGATGAACCGAACAGCGTGCAACAAGAATAAGAATGAAAAAAAACGCCAAAAAGTGCCAAACACAAACAAACGAAGAAATAAAAACACAAAAAGCTGGCGAGCAAATATTTTTCTGCTTGAGCAGGGCAAAGAAAAGCACAAACTGCAGAGTATCCATGCTTAAAAAACAAGTGAAAAGCAATCAAAGTAATAAACGGAATGGGGGAATGGCGAAACCGAAAGCAAATCAAAAAAATCAATGCCCTTTCTGTGGAATTATACGTTGCGTATACGTGATATGTACTAAGGCAGCCAAGCCAAATAATAATAAAGGAAATTCTCACGTGACGCATAAAAAACCCAACACTCACACATACACACACTAAGACAGCAACACGGCATGCCCCTTAAAGCACACACACACACACACACTCTTGTAAAACTTACTACCTGGGACACAAATTGAAGTTGGCGAAACATATTTGCGCAGCAAAGTTTCTACACAGAGAAAAACCATACCGAAGTAGTTATACAGTTAGTTCAATTTGTTAACAACAAACCAAAGTTTGAATCAAAAACTTTTCGAAAAAAGCACACATAAGGTTGGTGCCTGAAAGTAGGCAATGTAATTTTTAATTTGGAAAATATTTGAGGTTCTTTGATTGGACTTTCAATCTAGATTAATGATGAGTTCTTGTATATTTCTCAGTGAATAAAAGATTAATGACTAATATCTATCACTTGAAATGAAAATATTGGTAAATAATCTTTAAGAAGTGCTGAAAAACATACAATTTGAAATATCCTTTAGCTATGGTGAAATAACGAGTTCATCTCGAACTCGATGTGAGAAAAACTACCTAAACAAACTGTTTTTCCCTCTGTGCATTAGGAAGCATATGATTATGATGAGCTTGTCTTGCACACATTTTTTTTTGGGTCTCGTGGCTCGAAAATGACAACAGCTGGATGGTCGAGTGGGCGATGGGGTGGCTTGAGATTGCCTTTTGCCGCATTTGTTGCCGCTATTTTGCATACATTGAATTTAATGAACTGCCTGTGTGTTTGTGTTGGATTTGCTTTTAATAATTTAGCTGGCTGTGGACTAAATGGCGCTTTTAAAGTATGAACCGTCAGGCGACCCCAATATGAGCGACAAACGACCGAGATGAGGCAAAAATAAAAATATATAAAAAAAAGCCAAGGAAAACACGAACCATTTAATGCCCCTTCGCACCCTCGGTGCGTTTGTATGGGTGTGTGTGTCTGTGTTAGTGTGCAACCCCAAGTCAGAAGGGCAGGCATACTAACACACTTTAGCCGGAGGACTACGTCATCCTGGCCCAGAAGCGAGAGAAGCCAGCAGCCAAGCCAAACCAAACCAAACCAAAAGCTGAAAGCCCCGGACTCGGGGTCCTTCCAACTTTCCTTTTGGCGTCGTCACATTTTCGCATTCACAATCACATCGCGTGGCATATTCATAGGCGTAAGGATACGGCATAGGCATATAGTCTGGCCTCCACTAACACACTCCCTGGCCCACTCACACACTCGCCAGTGTGCACATGCACAGTAGGGTGGAGTTATAAGGACTCGAGCTCTGCTGCTCCTCCTTCGGATCGATTCCGGGTAACACAGACTTTGCGGCAGTTGCCATCGCACACACTAAGCGAAAATTTGCTTCTAAAAGTTCAATTAAATTTTAATTTTAAGATTTAAAGCTTGTTTTTATAGAGTCTTAAAGGAGGGGGATAAAGGAGGATAAAGGTCATAGTAAGTTGATTAAATAAAAATAGATCTTGTAATCTGCTTGAGAATTCCTAAGTTCTGTAAATTAGTTTTAAAAGTTCACTTCAAAAAATGTTCAGGATTTATTGTAAAGAAAGAATAGAAAATATAACTTCAAGATTTTTCGCTTTTCGATTAATATTTTCCCAGTGAAGTGTCAGCCGTTGCAGTTACTTCGTTTACTTGCTGCACGACAATCTGCATGCGGCATGACATCGAGGAGCTAGCGATGGTGAATCGAGGGGGAAAAGGGCGTGGCAGGTAGTGCCTCGATGGAGACGTCATCAATTCCCATCCAGCCTATAAATATACTAAAAGTAAAAGATGCCTTAGGGCCGGCGGCAAGTGTTGCAGTAAATTTCGAGGAGATCCGACTGCCGGCATGACCCTTGACCTTCGACTTGCACCATGTGCCATGTGCTCGCTCGATTTGCCCGTTTATGCTTCGATTTGCCACCCGCCAACCCCCACCACTTCCTTCGCCTGCAACTGCCAAATCATTTGCCATCAAAATCGCATGTCGACCGGCAGAAATAATACCGAAAAAAAAGAAACTAAACGAAAATAAGACAAGTAATAGAGAAAACCGAAAACCCAACCAGAAATCCTTGTCGCACAGTTTGCGTTTATAATTTATATATTACATTTCCGTGCGAGGCTTCTCTTGTTTTAGCTGCGCATTCGGCCTTGTCCTGGCCAAGCCAAGTATCCGTATCCGAGCTGGAATTGGATTCGGAATCCGTATCCGAGGAGGCCTTTAAGTGTGCCCGATGGCATTTCGGGATCCACTCGTCCTCTCGTTTAGCCCAAGGAGCTGCCCGCTTTATGGCTATTAAAATATGCATTTAAATACACACACCACACCACGCCACACCATATACCGTGGTATGCCATATACCATATAATCTTTGATGCGGCCTGCGTCTGTCTCCGGTTTTCAGGATGAGTATGGGTTCGAGTACCAGTTCCAGTTCCAGTTTGAGTGTGTGTTCCTTTGGGGCGTTGTTGAAAATTGAAATTGTGCGCTTATTTATGGAGCCCTGCTAGGGACGCTGGCGTTGATTGCCGTAACGCCCCATTGCCTGGTACATGACTATAATAATGATTGCCATTTTTATAGGCCAGCTCCTCCAGCTGCGAAGATAAATTGTTTGTGCCCGCCGTCGGGCTGCCGTTCGTTGGGTTGGCTGCTTGTAAAATCGTTTCACTTCGACATTTGAATCCTTTCGCTAGAAAGTTTCGGCTTGATTTTCCTTCAGTAAATGGCTGCTGCTGTGGTGGGTCAGCATGAATGCCAATGAAGTGGACCGCAATTTTTGATTAAGTACAGCTAGTAACCACGGCGTATACTTAATTTTTTGGACAAATACTTGATGGCCAGGACCTTGCAGACTCTGACAGCTTCTCCCACAGGCGTGGTTAGCATAATTGCACTAATTAATTTGGCTGAGGTGAGTCTGTAAATTGTGTTTAGCCCCTTGCCATCTGCGTGTGTTTGTGTGTGTTTGTGTATCCTTTAAGTAGCTTAAGGATAACTAAAGGCCTGCCTGTGCGGGTGACCATCTCTAGGGCTTTGAGTGTCTGTGTGTGTGTGTAAGTCCCACCTCCTGGATAAATAATACAATTGCCAGCGGTCGACTGGCCCCGTTTTGCTGATGACACAGAACCAAGGAGTCATGGAGTCGAGAAGTCGACCGGCTGAACTTCTGACACCGCCAAGTGCCCCTCATTATGACCCTTCCACATGTGTACTCGTATATACGAGTATGTATGTTCGGCTGCACGTGTGGAATATTAAGCAAACTGTGCAAACAGTCGTTGTCACATTAACCATGTCATGGCAAGTGCATATGCCAGTCTATCACCCCCTACACCAGTTTTTCCGATTGGTGAGTCCTACACTAGGAAAAACATTGGTTTGATTTCATTCAACAGGATTATAGATGATAAGTGGCTAGATGTAAATAAAGATCGTTCCTTATTGCTTCTTGAAGTTTAGTGTAGATCTGTTGCCTGCTGGCGTCAAAGCTTTCTCTTCGTTCAGTCGGATTCGTTAAGTCAGGTTCTGAGAGATATTTTCTAAGCATTCGATTTAGTTTTAAAAAGAACTTCAACGCTGTCGAGCTTTCGTTTATGTTTCATTAATGTAAGCCTTCGGTTTTGATATATAATAGAAGGAAACATTAGTTCTTCATAAAACTAAACTGGTGATTAAAAAGAGTGCATTCCTTAAGTATATTTCTAAAGGGGTTATCATTTCGTGTAAGTATTATTTATCTAGCTAGTTTCCTTTGTGTGCTTTTTGCTTAAAATTATATGATTAAGTCCGTATTCCGCAGCAGCTATGGTTTTGCCAAATAAACAAAACGTTCCGATATCTCAAAGCTTCTAAATAAAAGTTCAAAAGTCAGAGTCAGCAGACCAAGGCCATTCGAATCTAAATTTATTAGCAAAAGATAGAAGATGTCGTTCGCTTATATTTCTTTAGCAATTTTGCCAATGAATTCAGAATTAGCTCAGTTTAATAATAATAAAAAATAAATAACAACCCATTATGAGATTCAACTTGTGTTAAATAATAAAATGCACTAATACATTTTAAAACCCTTTAGATTGTGTTGCTGTCCATATTGAAATTAGGGTGATTAGGAAAACATAATTTTTCTTAGTGCACGGCACCTTATAGACGATGTTCTTTATATAGAACATATATATAGAACACATATAAGTACATATTTTTCGTGCGTGATCAATTGAGTGTGCGTTCCGCACATTTTATGAGCAATTAAAATGACCGATGGCAGCCGCTTAGCGCCACTTCATGCTCCTCTAAATGGATTCCAGAGCTTATGGATTCCCGGGCTTAGCTCGGGCAAATCGCATTAGCCTTGCAAGTTGGTGTGTGAGCAGCCTATACCCGTATGTATAGTGCTATGTGCCATGTGCCATGTTCCATATGCACAAGCCCCACTTTTCGCACGTGTCCTGCACACGACGCAGAGGTTAAATATTGCAGCACTTTCATGCGATTTCTGGAAGCGCCATCCCAGCGCAGCCACATCCGCAATCGCATCCGGCGGGCAATGGCAGAGAAGCAAAGGATATGCATGCCGAAACCAGAAGTCGAT